CAGTTCAGAATGCCTATAGAAAAACTGCATTGTGCTGGTATTTACAGCTGAAGATATTGTTCAGTTCTGTTATTGTTGACTCCTAGCTTTCCAGACCCTGTAAGATAAACACTTTGAGAATAGTTAAAGCAGGAGTAGCAAACGATTTTTCTCTTGAGATACTTATCTTTGGTGATAGGACACATGCTGGTGGTTGGCAAGTCTGGAACCCAAAGTGGGCACTGCCACCTGAGTTTCTCCCTTACATCCTCTTCTGTCTCCCCATCTTTCTCCCAACTAGTGAACTCTCAGGAGAGAAACAGCTGTTGGAGATTTGAACAGATGGCATGAGGGATGGGGTTGAAATTAGGCTGAGGTCTGCATTTGGTTTTAGGACTACAAAAATTGTGTCCACCCTTCTCCTGTGTTTATTTAAAGCAGAGATGGGAAACATTTGGCTTAATGGGGTGCTTTATCTGGCCCAAGGGTGTCTTGCAGCCGTGGATGGGGAAGTTCCTGTTCTTGACCAGCAGATGATCAGTGATAAGCGCTTTTTTCCTGCTTACTGCTGAAAATGACTACTTTTCTTAGTACTTACCAGAATAAGCTGGTGGCTGGAAATAAGAGCTTTTTGCTAGGGAAGAAACTTCTAGTCATTCAGTCCTCCTCCTACCTGAGTCTTGTCCTGTTAAGTAGATTTGCAAAGCATTGGTCTGCTTATTTGAAGGTAGACATGCTGTTCATGTGTACTTCTCAAGCTTGGTAATATAATTCGGTAAAATAAGGTTGTTTACCTGTAGCTGACATTCTTTGACTGGTCATCTGTGCAGTCACACATATGGGCTCTCTGTCTATCCAGGGCCTGTTGGGAAGATTTTCCTACCTAAGTCTGGCAGGAGCTCTGACCCTCCTTCCCTCTGATATATATAGAAGGAGCTCCTGCCATTTTCCCCAGTTCTCATGAAACTGATGCTTCAGCCTCGGAACCAGGGAGGATTGCCAGTAACGGTCTGATCCACACATTCTAATATGGATTTTGAGGAATAAGGGAACTACAAGAACTGAGGCTGTTGGCACCGACACGGGGCTGGTGGGTGGCTTGTGTGAATGCACAATGACCACTCAAAGAACATCAGTTACAGGTAAGCAACTTTACTTTTTCGTGGTTTCTGCATCACACATATGGGCAACTAGCAAGATTATTTCAAAACAGAGAAGGGCCAGTATCATCTGCAGAGGACTGCAAAAAGGACTGCTAAGCCGAAGGAGCACTCTTGCTTGGCGTTGACATTGAACCAGTAGTGCCAGATGAAGGTGGATGGAGTGGACTCAGTCACCACTCTGCAGAGGTCCTGCATTGGGATGCTGGCATGCAGCACCATAGTTGTCATCTTCAGCCCCTTGGTTGTTCAGAATGCACCCTTGGTTCAGGGAAGTGCATTCTAGCTAGTTAGCAGGCCCGTTCAATGGTTTCCATGATCCAGTGCTCAGTTTGAGTTGTTGGAGGTTAATAGGCTTGCCTCTGGAATGTTCACCATATGCAACAAAAGGTCTCTGAACCTGTGGAAGGATTTGGTACAGGACTCATAGAATGCTAGTGCCCTAAACCTGTACAGGGTATGCAGAACCTATTCCATCAGGAGGGACAGTGTTGGAAAGAAATGCTGGCAGTACAGTGTCCTGGTTCAGGTGGAACTATGACACAACCTTTAGAAGGAACGTGTGGTTGGGTTGCAGAATTGCCTTGTCCTTAAGTAAATTGAGGAATGGTAGATCAGTGTGCAAGGTGCAAAGTTCACTCGCCTGGCTGGTCAAAGAGTTTGCCAGCGGAAATGCAACCTTCCATGAAAGAAGGTGTAGGTCCATGGTAGCCAAGTGCTTCAAAGGAGGTTTCATAAGAGCTTGCAGGACCTCTGACAGGCTTCATCCCAGCATGACGGAATGGATGGGTGGGATCAGGTTGTGCAGACCTGTAATGAACCAATGGGACAGAGGATTTGAGAAAACCAAGAAACCATTGATCGTCCTGTGAAAGCAAGAAATTGCTGCCAGATATACTCCAATGGAGATGGTTTCAGGCCTCTGGTATGGAGCATGTGGATGAAGACAGCGATCTGCTGGATGAATGCCTAGTGTGGATTGAAGGCTTCTACCCAGGTAAAGGTCGTAAAGGCATTCCATTTGGCTTTTTAAGGACACCTCATGTTTGGGCAAAGGACCCTATCCAGGATTGTTTGTATCTTAAAACAGATAGGGACCTTCTGATCTGCTGACCAGTCCCCCATGCCATCAAACAGATGGTCCTAGTGTCTGGAAGATGGAAGAACTTGCAGCTGGACAGGCAGAGGAGGTGAACAAATCATGTCTGCCAGGGCCAATATGGAGTCACAAGAATCCAGCAGTTGCCTTCTCTCTGGATCTTGGCGAGCACCCTGGTGATCAGCAGAAACAGGAAGAACAAAGTTCCTTCACAGCACAGAAGAAACGCATCTCCCATGGAACCTTGGCCAATCCTGGCCTGGGAGAAAAAGGCTTCACATACCATGTTGGTCAGTGTGGAGAAAAGATCCACGGATGGGGTTCCCCAGGTTTTGAAGAGCTGCTTCCCATTCATGGGTCCCCTTGGGCTTTCTGCTCAGGGCGTCTGCCATGATGTTGGTCCCAGCCAAGTGGATGGCCACTATGGTAATGTCTCTTTCCTGCAGCCTGAGATGGGTTAGGGATGCAGACTGTGTGCTGCCTTGTTTGTCCAGGTCAAACACCACTGTAGTGTTATCCAAGGCAACCTGAACATGTTTGCCCCTGAGGAGAAGCTGGAAAGTGACCAGTACTTTCTGGACCACAAGATGCTCAAGGTAGTTGATACGTTCCCTCCAGTCTCAATTGGTCCATAATCCCTGAGTCCTGCCACTGGCATAGTGTGCTCCCCATCATAGACATGACATGATGCATCCATTGTCAGGGTCAGGTCTGGTTCCTTGAGCACAAAGACAACCCTTTCTGTCAGGTTATGTTGGCAGGTCCACCATGAGTGTTTTTTCCAAACTGAATGTGGGAGCACCAGCCACTTCTGGACTGAATCACATAGGGGCTGGTAAGCATGCACAAACCAAACCTGCAGTGGCTGCATCTGTAGCATTGCAAAACAGGCAACTGTAACTGCTGCTGCCCTGAGCAGCAGGAGTCATTGCACACACCAAGCCATCATCCAGAGATTGACCTGGAGCTGTGAAGCTAAACCGAGCAGTGCTGCTGCTCTTAGGTATTGCCATGCTGTCATGGAGTCTAGTTGCACCCCAGTATAGGGGATGGACTAGGAAGGAAGCAGTGCAGATTTCTTGATGTAAATGCACAGTCCCAGTCTCTCCAAGAGATAGCATGTGTCCTGGGTGGAGCCCTAGACATATACCAGCAAAGGACAACCAGCAGCCATTTGTCCAGGTAAGGGAAGAACTGGATTCCCTGGAGCTGGAGGTGAACACACTTCATGGCCATACATTTGATGAAAACCTGGAGAGCTGTGGAAAGGCCAAGCAGGAGCACAGAAAACTGTAAAGTGTTGGGCCCAATTTGGAACTGGAGAAATGACTGGTAGTTCTGATGGATGATAACATGAAAATATGCATCCCTCAAATCAGTCAACGTGAATTAGTCCCCTGGCACAGCAATGGCAGAAGGTTTTGCAATGAGACAATGCAGAACTTCCTGTGGGGAATGAAAAAGTTCATACCTTGCATGTCTAAGATGGCATGGAGCCTGCCATCCTTCTCTGGAATGGTGAAGTAATGCAAGTAGACCCCATAATAGAGACTGGATGGAGGACTGGATCAGATCACTCCCTTTAGCAACAGCATAGCAACCTCCTCCACCAGCATGGGAGAGGGTGGTGTCATGTGCCTGGTTCCAAGAACTGTTGAATGCTATGCAAAATCCACTCCTTCAATGGAGAGTACCCACTGATCCATTGTTATAGCTTCCCATGAGGGAAAGTAGGTGGTAAGGCCTTTGAACCATATTTGTGCTGCTGAAGGAGTGGAGGTCATTGCAGGAGTCAATGGTGTAATCTATCGGTGTCCAGCTTTTTTTGGGAATGTAGGAGCCAAGAGGTGGTGTCTCTTCAGTGTGGCTGGGCAGGTTGCTGCTGGCAAGTTGGCTGGTTGTATTGGCCCTGAGACTTGAATGAGGATGGGCCCCAAGGATGCTTAGATGCCCTCAGTGGTTGTGTTTAGCTAGGAAAATCTGACAACAGGCCCCATGCAGGCACTGAGCCCATATATGTGATGCACAGAAACCACGAAGAAGAACAACAGAATTAGGTGTGTGTGGAATTTTCAGCCTTACTTGTCTTTCTCTGTGGGCAAATAAGGTTTGTGTTCAATCTTGGGGCAGGAACAAACTCAGGGTGAATTCCTTCCAAGTGGTAAAACTTAGCCGTTGGAGGAACTTCAGTTGGCTCAATTGCTGCTAAGATCTGAGATGAGAGGGAATGGCTGGGAGATCTTGGATAACTTAACAATTCCTCTAGAGGATGCTGCTGCCTCTTGCTACAGTGCAGCTACTTTCTGAATCAGCCAAACCAATAGAAGGGAGGGATGTGTAGGAATTGTTGTGTTGACAACAGTCTCCATCAGCTACAGAGCTCAAGTGTATTGGTGCCTGCCTCCATTCAGATTTCCTCACCCATCCTTTGACAAGGATGGCCCTGACCCCATCTAGGATATGTCAGGGGCTAAGAAACTTGGCACATATTGAGGAGGGAAAATAAGTTAAGGAGTTCAGCAAAAACCCTGCTTCTCTGCCACTAGAAGCAGCTGGCCTTGGAAGAGCAGGTATGCCTCATTCCAGTGGGGTTTATGAAAGAATGTTTATCTTGCCTCATACTTGCAAAAGGAAGCATGCTCCTAAGAATTTGAGGATGCCCTCTGGGAATGAGAGGGAAAGAGACAGGTAATAGAAAGCTGCTATATAAGTATTTACATATGAGAGTGATATTTAAGGAGTTCATGCTTAACTTTTCCCAGATTGAAGCCTGCAATAAGGAAGCAGAAAAGATAGAATCGCTGATCAACTCTGACAGTCCTGCTTTAGCATCCCATGTGCCACTCTCAGCACTCATTGTAGCCCAGGCGGAAGTTTCATTCAAGAAGTTTTCTTGTAGTAGTCAACTTATGCCAGCACTGCATTTGCTCCTCTGGAGCCTTGTGTTTACTTTCTCAGCCACAGTATACAATACACAGTGGTAACAAAAAAGCAGGGTTTTTCATTTGAGTTGCGAAAGACATTCAGAACTGCTGATATAATAAGTATCATACATTTTAATCTGAAAACAGATTATATGGCCAGAGTGATTGTTTCACTGAACAGCAGGAGAAAATTGTATTTCAATATTATATTATTTGTGTCATCTTAATTTTTAATTTAAAGTATCAAGCTATCATGCACATTTTACTCTGCAATAGCATTTTAAAAAATTATATTATGGTGCCATCCAGTATGGTTGCTCAGAGGTTTCCAAGCATCCTTTTGAGAGGAGGAGGAATGGTGGAGGCAAAGGTTACCTTGGTGCTTCTCTCACCCTGAAAAAGACTTTGATAGTAGAAATTGTCCATCTAAAATTTTTGCCTGGGCTTAGAAGAAGGACCAGCTGAAGCCCTATCAGGATTCATCAAATCTCAGTGGAGCCTCATTCCTTCCTGCCTCAGACCTTGGAATGCTCATCAAATGAAACTGGTCTGGTGACCTCAGAGCTGTAGCCAGCATAGAGAGAACTGTGCTGGCTTTGCGGGTGGAGGGAGGGGCCACCAAGGTTGGAGCCACAGTTCCAATGTCGAAGCACATTTCTGAGGTCAGAGCTAGGAATCCAGCCTCTCCTGTGGCTGGCTAGACTGTGCCTAGTGGTCATAGGATTCCGCCTTTGGTTTCCTAGTTATGCCTGTTTTATATGTACACACTCATTTCTTTCGACTCACTGCCCTTTTTGGACAGACAGTTTGGAGGTTTCTGTAGTGCTCCAACAATTCACAAGTATTTTGGACCAAAGATGTTATTAGGAAAAAAAATAAATGTGTGCAAAACAGACATTGCTCTGTCATACTGCTTTTTGGCTCTCTGGGAAAGAAATCATCCTCCGTCTCAGACCTCAGGCTGCAACCCAGCACATAAATTCATAGAATTTAAGCAGCCTAACTACATATATTTCTTTGGAAGTATGTCCCACTGTGCTTGAATGCACATCAGACTTAAGTCTTAATAACTTCTCATCTGTACTTTAAAGTATATGGAGTTTCTAACACAGTAAGTCAGTCTTATCCAAAGATAGTTGTGGGCATGGCAAGTATTGCACAGGAAAAATGGTATGCAGGGATGTGCACCATCATCTGTGCTGTGCAGGACTGGCTGAGAGCACATTTCCCTACCATTTTGCACCCACATCCACTAGTGAAGGTTGATGCACACACAGCAGCATTCTAGGCTTACCTGTATGCAGGAAAGGTTGTTGTTTAATCTGTCTAGTGTATAGTTTCTGCATACAGAGCACTTGTTCTATACATGCCAGTTCTTTACTGTGAAGGCAAAATAATTGCTGGATTAAGGTGATTTTTCATTTTCCTGAAAGAGGACATTGTTGTGCAAATATTTTGTTTTCAGCAGTAAATACTGTATAAAATTGACAATTATTATTTTTATATCACTTAGAGGTATATCATTCAGAATAAACATATACTTATTTTAAATAAAGTTTTGAAGGAAACAAATTGCTGCTACTTAACTAATCTACCAAAAATGAATTGACTAGGTAATTGTTCATGTAAATGCATTATATATTTTATTATGAAGACTATAGCCATGGGCCTGATTCTGCAAACATCATGTTTAAAAAAAATTATACATGCACAGAAGGGTTTGCAGAATATTGCCCCCTTGCCCAGTTGTCAATCATGTTTTAAGCTAGTATCTTCTTTACATAAGAAATGTATGCAATGTACAAATTGAAGATGCAAATACAGTTTGCTCCTTTTAGAAGCAAAATTACGAAGAATGTTAAGCTATTTATACATGTCTTTCTAGATATTGCAGTATTTGCATATTATCTAAACTTACACTTTGTAGTGTCTTATACAAAGCATCTATTTTAATACTTAGGGCCCAAACTAGCAGGAGAGTCTCCTGTACAAGCTCTTTTTAAGTAAGTGGATGTTGTGTAAGAATAGAGGAGACCTTGCTGCTGGATTGTGCCCTTACCATTTTTGTGCATCTGTTTTACCTACATGAAGTATTTTGTGTCAGTATTGTGACAGTCAACTTTTGAAGTGTATACAGGTAGAATCCTCTTTGCCAAATTGTTGTACCTTTAAAAGAAAGCACTGAAAATGATTTAAACATCTGTGTTGTTGTCAAGTGTTTGCAGCAAGTGTTTGTTTTGATTCTTATAAAAGAAGAAAAACTTTGCAATGCAATATAAAAACTTATATTTTAATAAAAATAATTTTTTATTTTCTCATGTGTCCTTTTAAATTTTAACATTTTATTGTTCATTGGATAACCAGCATCTTCTCTTCTAGTGAAGCCAATCTTCCTTTATTTTAAATAAAATTGAGACAAAAATACAGTAATGAAGGCAACAACGAGCCCAATCTCCTAAGTGAAGTGGGCATTTCCTCTGGAAAGGGACTAATACTAAAGCAAACAATACTAACAAAAATCAGAGGTTAGACCCTTTGTTGCGAAATAGCATTTGCGCTGTTGATATTTTTATTGGGATTTTATGGAATAGGAAGTAAGATCAATCTTACCCTCTATTATGAGGGGAGGTATGAGAAGTACATGCTCCAAGTGGTACCTTTAATAAAGGGGAATTTCAGCTTTTCTCATGCTCACAATTTGCTTTTCTGAACAATTCCTGACAAAGAATCCTGTCCTACTCTGCATCTCCACCCACTACACCAACTTGTAGTTATAGCTAAGAGAAAAAAAACAGTGCATTATTTCATAGGCAAGGATAATGTTGAACGAAAAACTAAAAACCTTTGTCCATACCAACTGCTTCTCAAAAGCTTCAGTAGACACTTTATTGTCCTTAACACAGCATCCAAAAAGCAACCTCTGTGCATGAAGAGCCACACTAAGAAGTGAAAATTGGCTTTGGGCTGATATGTTGTAGAACCTAACATGTTTGGAAACATTGTAGGACTTTTGAAAAAAGATCCTTAAAATTTGACAAAACCAGCCTTCAGTGAAAAGCCTTGATTTTCCTTCATGGCATTTTGAAATAGTGGGTTCATTTTTATCTATCAGGATGGTGAATCAGTCAGCAAGTTTCTCAAGTTTACATGAAAGGGGAGAGAGAAAAGCCTGCTCTATTCTATGATCTCACTGTATTGGAGGCAGCTAAGGCTGGTATAAAGTTGTTCAGCCTATGCATGAAGCAGCAAAGCAAACTACAAAATTAAACCCATTATTTGAGGAAAGTTTAGTTCTCTGTTCTATATCACATTCTTACTTTATTTCAGAATTACAGTATCTGAGGCTACACTGCTTCAGGATGACTTCAACAGTTCTGAACTCAGTCTACAACATAAGTCCCATTGGATAAACATCAATTACTGTAGGTTCAGTTCTACATACTTTTTTCATTTTGGCTTGAAGAAAACAGTAGTGTTAAAGCTTCACTTTTGGTCTAATTCCTACTTTGGCTACACAGATTTCTTCTAAAGTTAGTTACTTTCACAATCAATTGTTCACAAATGTGGAAAATTTGCCAGTTTGTAGGCAAATCATTGAGCTTACAATGCCATTTTTAGGCAATAGTGTAACTTCTGAAATAGTCCTCATAAAGGAAGTGCTATAAATGGTGATTCTGGGAGAAATTTATGCTGCTTCCCATTTGCAAACACCAAGTAATCTCATTTTTAAGCTTTCCTACAAGTAATTTTAGGACACTTTTCCACCTTAACCGTAGATGCAGCTTTGAAGAATTCCACCCACTGCAGCTAGGACAGCTTGTGCTTCATTATGTCAGCTAACTTCTGCTGATTAGATGATGGGTTCTTTGGAATTAAATTATTTTCATTTTCCAAAGTGGGTGATGACTGGCCTTCAAAGCTAGTTTCTAATTCACTTGGTCCTGTTTGGTCAAGAGACAGACTTGTAGCAGGAGCTGTGGACAGTTCTGTGGCTTCATCATTGCTTAATAATCCCATGGATTCTTCTTCTAGAAAATCAACTTTGTTTCTTTGTAATTTGATGGGACTTAATTTACTTTTTTGCTCTTGAATGTCTGTATCACTTGCAATATTTGCAAATGCTTGCACCTTTTTTTTAACTTCAGATTCTGCTTCTTTGATGTATTGGGCTGCTATTGTTTTTTTTGCAGCACTTGGTTATGATGCTGTGAGACAGATGTGGGAAAAATTAGTTAGGGCTCACTGCAATATAAAATGACAAAATGCTCTTATTTATTTATAGAATAGAAATAGAAACACACAGACCAAGCGTGTAGAAACTTTAAGTGAAACATTGAGACTCAACTTTTCTATTACAGTCTATGAATACTGCTCATGTAATTTCCACCGAAAGCGCAAGGAGTCAAGCCAGATTTTTAAAAATCAGCATTCAACTGAGGTTAATAAACTGGATACTATTTAATGTCCTGCATAACACCATTTTTGTACTAGCGATTTTAATTCAGGAGGAAGAGTTGTATCTTTTCATATAAAAATCATAACCAAGGATGTTCAGGGGAGAATACTGTTGAAGCTGGGAGATATCTGTTTGATCCTAGGAGATGTACTATTTTATTTTTTATTTGTAAGCCGCCCCGAGGCTTCGGTGAATGGGGTGGCACAGAAATTTTCTAAATAAATAAATATTATTTATTTATACAATGGCCCCATGAAATAGATTCAGCAACTTACTGCCTTTTGGCCTAAGCAAGAATTTTAACTTTTTTTTTCATTCCAACATTCCTGCCACTGGACCACATTGATTTGCTCATATCTAACACATACACTCTGGCTGGTATTACAGTTTAATAAAACTATGGGATATTAATTTTTATTTCATTTTACAATGTAATTTTACAATGTTTGTATACTGTTCCACATCCAAGCAGATGCAAGCTAAATAAGCTAAGAGGAGAAGGAAATGCACCATTAATGCACATTACTGACTGGAAATTGTAGGCATGAGGGAAGACATGAGTAAAAAAATACTTAATGCCTTCATAGCTATAGCTTCAAGGGCTGCATCAGTGGAACCTGCTATACAGCCTATTCTTTTTCTGCCTAAAGATTCAGGAATAACATTATTTTCAGCTGATGAAGCTGAAGATAAACAAGAATTATTTCAATTGCATACTACAAAAATACAAGGTAAATTATTAGAGGTTCTTACACCCATATTGTCACAAGAACAACACTGGTTGCTGTGGAAGATACTGAAAAGGCCATCCACATAGGCAGAATTCCTGAAAAACACAAGCAGACACATATTTAGGTTTCCTACCATATTTGCACAACACAAACATTGTGGTCTTGCAGGATCAGTAATACTCGTGCCTTAACATCTTTTGACAATATGAACCTTCTGTTTCCGTTAGATGGCGGAGGGCAAGATTAAGCTAGTAACGGTATATCAGATTTTAGTTTTTATTATGTTACCTATTTATTTGTACCACATGAAATGATAGGTCACTTACCTTTCAAGTGATCATGTGGGCAGTCACACATACAGTTTCTACACCTATGTAAAGCCTTGTTCAAGGACCTTTATAGCCCTCCTCCCCTCCTACAAATAAAGTGGAAAAAGTCAGGCATGACAGCACCTGAAACAGAGTAGGAGGGTGGGTTGTATGACCACTCAAACTACAATTAGATAGGTAAACAACCTGCATTTCTGTATGGTCTCTACAGACCTACATATGGGAATATTAGTAGATTTAGTTTCTGGATGTGGGGCAGATGCTAAGGAGTCAACAAGTTGAGCGCAGTCCTACCAATGGAGTTGTGATACCAGATCCTGATGGCTAGCTTATAAAAGCAAACAAACACTCCCCAAAGTTTGTTCTCTGCAATGAGCCACTCCCATCAATCCCCAAACGAACACAGAGCAAGGGTAAGAAACCTTGTTGCAGATGTTTGGGACAAGAATTTCCATAAATGGACAATTGGCTATGCATCTAGAGGGTGCCAGGTTGCCTAGCACTGTTAGGGAGGCTACAACAAATCTGGTGGAGTGGCCCTGCAGCAAATCAGGGTCTCAAAACTTAGCCAGCTGGTTGTGCAGTCACAGTTAAGGAAAGTGTGAAAAACCTACACTCAGAACATGAATGTAACAGCATGCTGTCACTCATGTTCACCTGGAACTGATATTTAGAGGTGCACTCCCACTAATGCTAGTATTATATAGCTATTGTGACTAATACCCACTGATACCACGCCCTTTATAATTGGTCTAAGCGTCTTTTAAAGCCATCCAAGTTGGCAACCATCACTATAGCTTATGGTAGTCAACTGCACAGTTCACAGTACTATATGAAGTATATTGTTTTGTTAGCCCTAACTCTCCCACCATTCAGCATCACTAGGTGACCTCAGGGTTTATTTAGTATTATGAGAGAAAACCATAAAGTAAGGTTGCTTACCAGTAACCAATGTTCTTTGAGTGGTCATCTGTACATTCACACAGATGGGATCTGTGCCTATGTGGCGCCTGCCATTGGATAGATAGAAATAGAGCTACCCTAGCTAGGCATTTTGGCAGCAGCTCTGCCCACTTCCCCGATACTATATAAAGGCAAGGCTCCTGCCATTTTCTCCAGTTCTTGTGAGACTGTCGGCTGGGCCTTGGAACTACAGCATGGATGGTAAGATAAGTGTTTTGTACTGTATACAACACCAACAAGGGGTCTGTGCGTGGGTTGTGAATGCAGAGATGAGCACTCAAAGAATGTTGGTTACAGGTAAGCAACCTGCCTTTCTTCTTTATGGTCTCTGGGCATCACACATATGGGTGATTAGCAAGCTTCCCTTGGAATGGAGGTGGGGTGGTATCATCATTGAAGGACTGCTGTAAAAATTGCCTGTCCAGAAGAATAGTTCTACCCTGTTTGAACATTAAGTTGGTAAGTCGGTAGTGCCAGATTGGGCCATGTTGCTGCTGGGATGCCAGTGTGTAAAGCCGTCGATGTTGCCATTGCTCTGATTGAGAGGGCTTTTGGTTGTTGTGGGAGTTGCAGTCTGGCTATTTGGTAAACTAGTTTGATGGTCTCCACTATCCAGTTTCATACACCACTATCCTTTGTGGTGTATGAAACAAACAGTATTTTTTGTTTTGTGGATTGGTTCTGTGCATGAGCGATAGAAAGCTAAGGCTCTGCGAATGTCCAATATGTGCAGTGCTGTTTCTATTGGTCCAAATGGTGTCAGAAAGAAAGCTGGTAGGGTTTATCTTGATTCAGAGGGAATGTGGAGACCACCTTAGGGAGAAAGGAATGGTCC